CAGACAGAGACAGAGACAGATTCGGAGAGCGTGAGTTTTGCAACAGTTGTACAGTTGTATTGATACTCGCACTAGACATACCCACAAGAGCCGACACTTTAATTACATTAGGAGGCAGAAAACAGAGGAAGGAAAAAGAGCAAGTGTCCCTCCCAGGAGCCCCACTGAGTCGTGCGCCAGGCGAGCGCACGTCGTTCTTTGGCTAATCAATGAAGTGAGTTAATTAATAAATAGCCAGCTCGTTCATTGTTCCTCGCGCTCACACCTTCTGCTGCTTCATACCTCCAGCTACCTCTTTTATTCGTTCGTATTGGCCAGGGCCACATTTACGATTGGATTTGTTTATTCGCCAATAAGAAGGAAACGCTTCAGAGTTTTTAAGGTTTTTGTTAAGATTTTTAAGGCACTTGCAACTCAAATAGATCATAATATATTATGTGCCAAAGCTTAGAAGTGTTGCTATGGGAGAGTAACATGCTAAGAAGCGAAGGAGGAGAGATGAGGACAATAGGTGTTTGATAGGGGAGAAGGAGCAAACTTCAACAGAACATCCACCAACCACTCACCGAAACAGTAATTTCTAATCAGAGTTTTTGAAATAGCAAGGTATAATAGTTTATGGCAGAAGTTTTGTCTTACTTCTTGGGGAAGAGGCGGAGGGAGGGAAGGGGAGGGGGGGGAGCTTATTTAAAAGGCCATTAACTGTAAATACTTTATGAATTGAACAACTGTCTAGTAACTGTGGTGTAGTGGTTAGGTGCTTTGCTGTGGCACGCAAGGGACCCAAGTTCAATTCCAGTGTTGGGAGAAACTTTCATTATTGTATTGTATCCCTCTCAGCCCGTGTTAGCCCTGACAGTCAGGTCAGAAGCTCGTCTCCTACATTTTCTAAATTGTGCCTACATTTGAAAAAAAAACCCAGAAAATTAAAAAAAAAACTATTCCACCCCAACCCCCCAAACAACTCAAAACTGAAAGCTATTTACTCATCGATATTGTCGTATAAACAACGTCTTTCCAGAAGGCCTCAAGGGTTCGCCATCCGTGAGATATTGGTCTTCGTTGTAACGTGAGACTGACGGCAGAAGGGGAAATCTAGACGTTTTACCATGTCTGGGGATGTGGATAGCGGGAGGGAGAGGAGGTTGTGGGTGGAAATCTAGACTTTTGCTATATCTGGGGTGTGATTTGGATGGGAGTGGGGCAGGTTGTGGGTGGGGAAGGGAGGTGGTGGGTTGAAATCTTGACTGTTGCTGTTTGTGGGGTGGTAAGGGTGTTATGGTGGGAAGGGTGCTTGTGGGTTTTTATTTTCTATTGGGGGAGGGGGGCGCGCAGATTGTACGTGCACTCGGAGAAGGATGTTGTGTGTATATA